ACACACACACACACACACACACATATACACACACATACACACACACACACACACTTGAGATTCCTTTATGAATTGCCTTTTCATGTACGTGGCTGTTTTCGGCTGGGTATTTTTTCTTGTTGATGTTAAAACGTTGGTGTGTAATAAGATATTAAGCACTTTTGTCATATATGTAATTACGTTTTGTTTTGTTTGTGTTTAGCATGGAAATATCGCTCATTTTTCTCCTTCACGGTGTCTGGCTGCTAGGTCACGGAGAAGAAAACATGTTCCCGTTCCAAGATAATGAAAGGTTTTAAGGTTTTATTTAAATCTCTGATCCAGGACATCTCTCTGGCTGAGTTAAACTCTCATAAAGGTGCGTTAATCCTCTTTGCATATTTAGAATGCCCTTCGGCTGACTTCGACTCTAAATAACAGCTTGTTCAGTATACTATTTGGATGTTAGCATTTTTATTCTGTTCAAATTTTATAGACATTTGCTTGCTCCATTTTCCCCTGAAATCTTATGTTGTTGAGAAGTTCCAACAAGTCTTTTACTGTTTTGTTGTTGTTGTTGCTGTCGTTTTTGCTTATAAGTCACTATTTCTTCCTGTTAAATATTTGTAAGATTCGTTGAGTTTCTTCAAAGTTTGGTAATCTTACCAGGATAGATCTCAGTAGTTGTCATTTGTTCGTCAATGGGCTTGAGCTGTGAGGACCGGCGCTGTGGCAGCCCTGTTGTCATGCTGAGAAAAGACTTTCACTGGTGGTGAGTGATGCCGGGACTGGGGAGACACTGGGCCCTGGACACAGGTCTGGGGTGCTGGAGTCTGTCATGCCCACCCATGCCTTCCCTGGACGTGAGCTAACACAGACCCCTTTTATTTAAACGGCTCTGAGCCGAGTCCTCTGCATCACACACACTTCTGCATCCCAGATGCCTGAGCAAGGGCTTCATGGTTCTTTATTACCATCGAAGGCAGGGGTCAGCCCTCCCTCCCCGCCCTGGGTTCCACTACATGACTTTGGGGTTCTCTAGGAACTTGGCCGTAGCATTTCATTGGCCCTCGGAACCCGCCTGAGGGTGTGGTTTCACTGGAAGTACTACATGAAGCTTTCACCAAGCTAAATGAATGCCCCGCTCTCTCCTTCCTCGGTGAGCAGGGGACTGCCTTCCCAGCTCAGAGTAAACGCTAATGCCCCCCAGGCGTGGAGCGGACGGGGAGGCTCTTCATTTCTCTCCGTCTCAAATGGGCCCTGAATGTCTGCGCCTATAAACTGGGAGCAGCGAGGCACCGAGAGGCCGTGGCACCTCCCCCTAGGCAGCCTGCACTGAGCTCTGCAAGGTGACCGCATGGAGGAGCAGACGGGAGGGGGACGAGGAGGCTGACAAACGCTTTTGTTTTCCTCTGAGGGTGTGCCCATAACACATAATGGCTTCCCTACAGATTCGGTTTTCTTTTTATTTCCCCCAAAAGTTCACGTCTGTATCTGAAGGGCATGGTAGGAAAGACGTGGTCATTTCCCGCTTGTGGCGGGTGATGCTGAGATGCTGGAATGAGCGAGGGGAAATCACTGGTTATGAATCTGGGCGTGGGAGTGGCCTCCCTCCCTCCGTGGGTTCCATTTTCTGGTTAGAGACGATGGTTTAGCGCGCTGGATTCCAGGACAGTGTGCGTGGACTCGCCGCCGACGGGAATCCCTTGTCCGGGATCCCAGACGTTGCCAACCGATACAAGAAGCACTTGGCAGCGTTTCAGCGGGTGCCAGGATTTCATTAGTAACCCCTAAAACCAATTAACTTTTAGAGGCTATGTTCAATACTTCAGAAGAACTCCTGGAAGGTTTAAATCATTCTTACAGCCGATGTCTCCTTAGCGTCATCATCGCGGAAGCAGCACATCGTATCGGATGGGAGGGACAGACATCTGCAAGACGACAGAGGCCCCTGGGCCTGGTGATGACCGACGAGCAGTGAAGCCCTTGCAAACCAAGGTGGGCAGGTGGCTCCAGAGCCCGGCCTCGGATCCCTGCGCAGGAGCAGCGGTCGGGAAGCGGGGACCCCTCCTGGACCACGGGCCCTGGGCTCTGTGCCGTAACCAGGGGCAGCCCCAGCTCACCATTCCTCGCTGGGGCGTGTTGCTTTTCTCTCTAGGATCCAGTTGCCTGTGGTGTAAGATGTGCTTAACAAGGATAACTCTTTTACAGGGTTATACAGATTAAATGAGGTGGTCATAGACAACCTCAGTCGGAGGCCTCATACCAGTAAGTACTCACCAAATACCGCTGCCAGTTCAGTATCGTTCTTAGCATAGCTCAGCACCAGCAACATCCGCATTATTGTAAACACACACACACACACACACACAACAAAGTTAGGTCTCTTGTTGGGGACTCTGGTCATCCATCTCCTGTGACCTCTCACAATCGCGTGCCCTGACTCCACGGGTCCATGACCTTGCTTGTCTCCCATTGAAGGTCAGGTGTGATGTGCTTGGATATCATACCTCAGGCACCACACATAGGAGTCAGAATACAATATGACAAGCAACACAATTTTTTACACGAATATTGTGTCTTATGGCATCCAAGCCAAATGAGTCAGTCGCTCTACAAACCATTAACACACGAGTGTGGCTCAGTTGTTAAGCATCAACCCAGGAACCAGGAGGTCACGGTTGGATTTCCAGGCACATTTCCAGGTTGTGGGCTCCATCCCCAATAGGGGGTGTGCAGGAGGCAGCCGATCAATAATTCTTTTGCATCATTGATGTTTCTCTCCCTCTCTCTCTCTCTCTCTCTCACTCTCTCTCTCTCTCTCCTTTCCTCCCTCTGAAATCAATAAAAGCATATAAAAATATATTTAAAAAAATAAATGAAAGCTATGTGCCCAGAAAAGCAGTGATGTCCCCACTGCAAGTTGATGGCAACTAGAATTTAATTCCCACCCAGAGGCTTCACAGTGATTGTTCATTTCCGGTGACTTTGGGGACGGCAGTGGGACACTCGCTGGGCTGCAGAAAGGGCCTCCGAGGAGAAGTCGAAGTGAGCACAGACACAGCACAGCGGGGAGCTCGTTGGTCCGAAGAACGCGGGTCAGGCCAGGCCGCAGGGGCGGTTTGAACCACGGCCGCGGAGTGGCTGCTCCACCACACGGCCCCGCGGACGGAGTCTGCCTCCCTCCCTTCCTGCTGCAGGCCTTGCGGTGAACACGGGGACCGGGAGGCAATGGGCACCTGCTCACTAAACGAATTCATTGTTTACTTACGCCTCGCTTTACGCTAAAGAAATGACTGGCCAGGAGCACGTAGAGCTGCAAACGACCCCAGGAATCACAATGGGTCATAAACTCCAATTAAACACACATTAAAAATTAATATGGTTCTTAATGAAAGAGAGGCGTCACTTCCATTGGTTTGGTAGTAGCTGCACAGAGCCCTCGACAGCGTGAAGAGGAAGACATTTGTTAGCCGTCTCTCACCTTCATGGAAATGCGCCAAGAGGAAGTGAGTTGAACACCAATATAGGATGCCTGACGTAGACCCAAGAGAGTGATTTCTGGTGACATTGATTTTTAAAACCTTTATCGGGGAAATGTTAGCGGGTCCTACGGTTAAAGATGGAAGGTGGGACGCACATGTCCCTGTCTATGTCCTTCAGAAATGGCGCTAGAATCGCGGCAAAGGAGAATGAGAGACAGATTTGGACAAATGGCCTCGCAGAGCCTAGAAAACTTAACCCTAAACTGGCAGTGGGGACATTAGAGTTAAGCTGGTTTATAGCACATTTCCCTCCCAGGGTCCGATCATTAGTGGCACTGACAGCTTTGGAAGGAGGTTAAAGTGGAACGACTAAGGTGAGGAGCGTTTTTAGACGGCTGTTTCAGAAGCCTCCAGACCGCTAACTCCCATCCCATTCCAGGCGGCCACCTCTGCCCTACGCCTCGCATGGTCCCCGCCTGGAAGGATCCAAAAGGCGCAGGTGCAGCGTTGTCGGCTGCACGACTCGTCCGTCACGTGTGTGTTGGCCCATTTCCCCTCCTTCCTTCACAACCCGATGGGAAGGTTCGGCTCCCTCTGGGATGGACCGCCATGTTCATTAACCAACTGAGCGTGTCTGCGGAGATTCTTGCGGCTGGGCAGGCTGAGCCGGACCTGACCCAGGTGAGTCCATGAACTCCCGCGTGGCTTTGCCCGGCTGTTCACACATTTGTGACCCATGTGGGAGGTCACGGCTCTGTTTGTAGAATTTACCTTTCAGATTAAAGGAGAGGTTTGCAGCCACTCAGACCAGATTGTTGAAGGCAAGCCTTTGATCTTCCCACGCCTCCCACACTTGCCGGTTGGCTGCTTGGTGGGACAGTAAGAGGCAAAGGACCGCTAACCGAATGCTGGTCGCCCGGGGCCATCTGCCTTCAGAGGGAGGAGACGGGGGGAAGTGTCCCCGCTTTTGTACCATCCTCCCCTCTATTGCAGGTGACCCTGTCAGGATCCCTGGATCCCCGTCGACCTTCACTGACGGAAAGGGGCAGATGAATGAGCATCCGAATGAGAGGGGAGCCCAGAGGCCCGTTGGGCTCGGGTCCACAGCTCAGGGCTGCCATTCCCTTGGGCCAGTGACACCCCCTCTGAGCCCGAGTTCCTGGCCTGCGAGGTGAGGTCCGCCTGCTCTCAGAGGTCCCGAGAGGGTTACCTGAGGCCAGGCACCCGCGGGGCTCAGTGGCTGCTCTTGCCCTCTGCACGGCCTCACCTGTGACCCTGCAACCGCGGACTCCGCCTCTCTTTTTATTTATTTGTTTTTGATTTCAGAGAGGAAGGGAGAGGGAGAGAGATAGAAACTTCAATGATGAGAGAGAATCATGATTGGCTGCCCCCTGCACACCCCACACTGTGGATCCACCTGCAACCTGGGCATGTGCCCTTGACTGGAATCAAACCTGGGACCCTTCAGTCCACAGGCCGATGCTCTATCCACTGAGCCAAACCAGTGAGGTCTCCACCTCTCTTTTGACAAGGTGACCACTTCAGGCGAGACCACATATGGCTCGATGGGGACCCATCACACGCATCCTTACGTGGCCAGCACGGGAACCCCGACGTGGGAGGAGCAGGGAACACAGAGAGCCGAGGAACAGGTGATCTCCAGGCCCCCCGGCCGGTGAGTAAGAGGTGGGTCCCGCACTGGAACCACCTGGGGCGGGTGTAGGCACGCTCTCACCTGTGCGATTCTGCGGAGCAGGTTGGATGGGGAGCCAGCTCCCCCCGGCCCTGAGCTGGGATCAGCCACTCACTAAGTCACTTCTCTGTTGTGATGACCTTCGAACATTTGACGGCTGCCCCTCCAGTGGCTTGAAGCTGAGACTCCATTCCCCCCATTCCCACCTCAAATGCCGTGTTTTCCGGGCACCAGCACCCACGAGGAGATGAAGGGCTTGGGTCATTGGCCAAGGTCAAGTTCAAGGGCATTGGAAACTGTCTCCTCTCTGGGGGCTGCTCCTTGAACCCACAGAACGCTGGGCTCTAAGATCCTAGATGGCCTTGCCACAGCCTTGGTAACAAGCGCTGGGCTCACTTAGTCATCCTTGCACACCTGTGTGAGCTTAAACAGTGTGAAGACAGCAGTGACCACCGATGGCCCATTTGCTCGTGGCCACGCCCCCTGATCTTGGAGCAGGTTTTGCACGCCTACTTACTAGTATTTCACTCAACAAAGTGCATTCCGCTCACACACAAGGCAGATCCAAGGCTGCCATTTTCCTGTAACTTCTCCATTTGTATGTGCAGCCCTGGGCTGGTAACCCACATCCTCCGTGTGTGTGTGTGTGTGTGTGTGTGTGTGTGTGTGTGTAGGGCCTTCATTGGTGGGTATCCTCAAGGAAAGGGGAGCTTTGCAACACTAATTAGTAAAGATCAGCGTGAACGCAGGGCCAATGAGAACAAGATGTCCCTGGAAATAAAACTCTGGACACCATCAAACCAATCTGACCCCAGGGCGAGTGAGGAGACCTGGGTTCTGACGAGGGACCATTGCTTTGCGTTGCTCAGTGTTGCCTGTGGGCCCGGGGGTCAGGGCGGCTGCAGGTACAGGCACTGGCTTCGAGCACATCTCTGCGGGCTCAGGACCCGATTCCCAGATGGAGACGGGCAGATGGAGCCGCACACATATGGGGAGGGCGGGGGGCTCGGTCTCTCGGAGAAGGAGTAACATCTTATTCCCAGATGGAGGGGTCAAGGCCGTGGGTATTTTTGGTCCTTTGAGTTGGAGGACAACGTCATTCCCAGACCTGGTCGGCAGCCCTCTTGGGCGTGATGGGGTTTCAATGTGGGCCGGGAGGGCTGTGGCTGCTGCCACCCGATCCTGTTACAGAAATAACAGCCGGCGCTCTGTGTGTCTGTGACGTATGACTCAGGGGCGCTGCCTGCAGGGAGTGCGTGCGGAAGAGCCGTGGGATAATTTTAGAGGAGAAAGCGGAATAAACTCCCTTCCCCGCAGCAGAGCACAGGGAAGAGGATCGCTGCCTTCACCTGTCAAAGACGCACCCAGCAGGCAGCTCAGGGCAACTGGTAAACCCGGCAGCAGAAGCCTAACCCCAGCCAGGTAGTTCCGTTCGGATACACTAACGGGGGCTGGCCGCAGAAAAGACACCGGACATCTTAATGTGGCCTCGTGTGTTATATGCCAGTTCCTGGTGGCAGAAACTTAGGAGTGATCAGAAACTCGGCTTCCCACTGCTTGGCTGCAGCTCCAGCATCTGAGTGAACTGGTAAACCCGGCAGCAGAAGCCTAACCCCAGCCAGGTAGTTCCGTTCGGATACACTAACGGGGGCTGGCCGCAGAAAAGACACCGGACATCTTAATGTGGCCTCGTGTGTTATATGCCAGTTCCTGGTGGCAGAAACTTAGGAACAATCAGAAACTCGGCTTCCCACTGCTTAGCTGCAGCTCCAGCATCTGAGTGAGAAGGAGCTAAATTCCACCCTCTGAAACACTTAATCACATGGATTAGAGGGGAAGTGGGCCTAATGTCACTTTATCTTTTTTTAATGAAAACACTGCCACCAGCTGGTTAATAAATGGCGCTGACTATGTTTTTATTGAGTGAAAAAAAGCAAGTCGTTTCCCCTTCATTTAAAAGGGGAGCGCAGTTTCGAGTAGAGGACATTTTTCCTCTTTTCATAAAAATTAATAGCCTCTCGCAATGCCTGTCATGCTCAGTCCCTCGCAGGGTGAAGAGACCCGAGAAAACCCGTGCTCCCGCCCCCGCGTGGGGTCCCGACCGGGAGCGTTTCGGAGGCCCGGTGGTCACCATGGGAATTGCCCAATGTCACGGTTTCCGTCCAGTGACTCACAGGCACCAGGCTCCTCGCTTCCCTACAGGTCAGAGGGCCGGGTGGGACCCGACACCCCGCAGGGGTCCTCCAGTTGCAATGGGGGATGACGGCCCCCAGACACCGCCGGACTTCGGGGGCGGCCCTCCTCCCCCAGGGCAGCAGGGTCCAGCTACCTCTGCGTCTGCGCGTGACATGCTCCACTCCACGGGACCTCGCTGTAGAGCACGTGCACGTGACCTGAGGTTTTTTCCAGGTGCTACCACACAGAGCAGCAGAAAAGAAGAAAATGAAAGCAACTCCACCTGGGAAGCAGGAACGAGACCCCAGGGCCTCCAGCCGACCGAGCTGCAGAGCAGGAGCGCCATCACCGACGCGCATCCCAGGCGGCCGGGCTGGGAGCAGGGTCTGTCACTGCGTGTGGCCGCGCCCTTCCCCGGGAGGGGGCCTGTGAGGGGCCTCCTGGGTCAAGGGCGCATGCTGAGCAGGGGGCAGGAGTGGGGCGCATGGGGCGCAGTCCGGGCTCCTCCTCCAGGCGGCAGAGTGGACCTTCAGGGTCAGGGAACCTTGGCTGCAGAGAAGGGCCTGGCCCTGGAGCCCCCCTGATGCAGGACCCCCTGGAAGCCAGGTGCAGGGGCCCAGGGGCTGTGTAGGGCCTCGGCCCCAGCGACCACAGCATGAGGGCGGGTGGCCTCGGGTGGCCCATGCCGGCGCGTCCCACCACGGGGTGCTCTGTGCTCCGTTTTCTTAGGCTCTATTCCTGGAAGTGGGGTCAGGGGGTCAAACGGCAGTTTCCTGTTTAGTTGGGTTTTTTGTTTTTTTGAGGAAACTCCCTCCTGTTTTCCATAGTTGCTGCACCAGTCTGCATTCCCACCACGGTTTCATTTCATTTGGTTTTCCAGTGTATGAGTCATACACAACTAGGAAGGGCTATCATTTCATGACAGATACTTATTAACCTATTGCAATATTTTCCCAGCCAAGAGACCAACTCAAGTTAAGTCCAGCGGCTTGGCCATAATAAGGTAAATAATTGCGACTCAATTAATTAATCAAGCATTTATTGAACTCATCACACATATGGCTCTCACTCACCCCTGGTATCATATCCCTAAAATACTTGATTTAAGGGATTTTCATAGATGTGTTTTGTTTCCATGCACTGCACTGCTAAACGCAAACACAGTTTCAGATGTTGGGAAAAGAAATAAAATAAGTGCACTCAGTGTGGAAAATTGGGAAACAAGACAAAGTGTAAACAAACACAAATCCTGTCACCGGAGACAATCTGCTTTAACTTTGTAGTTGATTTTCTCCCTGGCTTTTCCACATCTTTTTTTTCCCCACATCTTTTAAAAATGCGTTTTTAGAAAATACCTTCATCTATGCCGGTTTTGTAGCTTGATTTTTTTCATGAAACATAGCAAAAGCTTTTTCAATATCATCAAATATTTAGCAAAACACATGGAATGTTTGCACCGTATTCCGTTATGTGATTACACTCGAACGTATTTACCCATCATCCTCTCATGCAAATGCTCATTTTCAGTGAAAATGTGCCGAGTGCCACCTGTGTCAGGGGCCGCGAGGGGCGGGCATCTGACTGTGACTTCCTAGCTTCATGGATGTTGGGGTGTTGGGTATATTCTCCCTACAGCTTTAATGACTGCATTCGGATAAGCTGCTGCAAAGTCACTGTCCATGGAAAAGATGAACATATTTCTGGGCCAATTTTTATTTGAAAATTTTCAAACCCACAGCAAAAAAGTAGAAATAGTATAAGAGCATTTTGCTTAGATTCACCAACTGTGAACATTTTGCACTGTCCCGCTCTCTTCCTCTCTCCCCACACATGCACACATGTACGCACACACAATTACATGCACATGCACCGGGGTCTTCGCCTGGAGCCTTTACTTCCCCGAAAGTACCTCGCAGAGGTCATGGTGCTCCCCTCGCACCTACACACTAATCCGCACCGGCGCCTGCTCCAACATGAAAAATGAGCATTTACCTAGGCCAGCAGGGAACGAAGGCGCGCCTTCCTGCTTCATTGTCCAGCAGATGAGATGCGGGCGCAGGGATCCTGCCAATTCCCACAATCTGTACGGAATTGCAAAGCGCTGCCTCTGCATTCGGCTTCTCTGTCCAGCCCTGCTCCTCCTGACGTGTCCGCTCAGTGTTGCAAGAGCGCAGGCTGGCTGGCGTCCGTGCGTGAAGACCAACGGCTTCGGAGTTGATCACTTCTCTCCCACCCACACGAGAGTAATTCCTACGAGTGATGCCCCTATGGCTGCCCACAGCAGTGTCCGGGCGCTGTCTGCAATCCCCCTGGTGGGAAGTTCAATGATTGGGAGGTCACTTATCTGCAAACGGAAGGGGTCGCTGACTCTCTCTGTGACAAGGCATGCCATGGAAGCTGTGAGTCCATCTGTGGCCAAGGAGCGGGATCAAACAAGGAACAAGAGATGCTTCCAACCACCCTGACAGGCAGGGCCTGGGAGGCGTGGGGGGAAGGGACGTTGGCAATTGCACCCACTGTCACTCACACGGGGGCTTTGGGGCTAAACACGTGGGCGTGCACCCTGGGTAGTCTCCACAAGGTCATCGCAACCAGTTCTCGGCGAGGAAAGATGATGGATGATGTACTTTATCTTGCAACAAATGCAGTAAATCTTATCCCAAGTAAATGAGCCAACAGTCTGCACTGATTAATGGTCTTCATGATCAATAGTCTTTGTCCAAGCCCCACACTCATCTTCAACAATCTTGTCATCGGCAATACACGTGTCCCATTTTCCCTTGCGGTTGTTGATTAAGGGGGTTAACCGTCTGCTGCAATAGAGCGGGTCTTCGAGCCCATCTTCAATGTTTGGGGGAACCATGAACCTGTTCTCTTTATCCAAGTGATGGCTCTTAATGTCCCTCCTTGGAGAAAAACAGTAATTGAGCCGGGAACAGGAAACTCTGACCAGTCCCTTCTCCCACCCAAGTCAGCTAGTATGCATGCATCAGGACAACAATTTAAGGCAACTTTCCATTTTATTAAAATGTAACCAAAAATAAGCAAGAAAGCACCATGTTATTCAATGTATCATCTTTATCTCTCTATTTACTGCTTGGTTTGGAATACTTCCAGCTGTAAATAACTTAAATAATGGCCATCAATAAGCTTAGCTTGGAATTTGTTTCACCCATCAGACAATAATGTAGGAGGTGGCCACCTGGGGCTGGTACAGGTGCCCCTAGCACCTAGGCCAGTCTACATTCCCATCTTTGCACGCCAGTGCCTTTATGGCAATCCTCATCACCATCATGCTTGCCATCTCCTGCCACAGCTGACCCCTGCAGCCTGGCATCAAGCAGGAAGGAACAAAAAACAAATGGGGAGAAGTGAAGGAGCGGCACATCTACCACTTCTAGCTGCAAGAAAGTCTGGAAATGTGTCTGATTTAGCTGATTATCTTGTGCCTGCAACCCAATCAGGAAAAGGGTAATAGATGCTGCCTAGGTTACAAGAGGACTTGGATAGACACTTCAAAACGAAGGAGCAGGCTATTTGAGGGGAGAATGCTTGACGCACGTAGCCAGTGCAACGGACTACAGCAGCTGTATCAGCAGTGCTCACATCCCTGACCCTGCACCATTTCTGTGCACACCTGATCGTGGGGAAGGGATTGTAATGAGAACAGAGCCACCGTTGTCTGACAATTACTCACCTTGCTAACTATAAATGAAACATTTTCGTAAAAACCTGGGGAACTGGAAGATGAAACAGGCTGTAAAAAGATGAGATGCCTTGATGGGCCCATGACTCAGAAAAGAAATACATTTTGAGAACAGAACAGGGACAGGACATGCTTTGATTTGGTTGCTGTGCCGGGACCCTGACCCTCTCCAGGCATTTGCCTCAGGAACGCTGACCATTCTCTGGTCCCAGGAACGGGCTGAGCTGTCTGTAACATCATAGAAGACTAGAGGCCTGGGGCATGACATTCATGCACTGGGGTGGGGGGAGTCCCTCAGCCCGGCCTGTGCCCTCTCGCAGTCTGGGAGCCCTCGGGGGATGTCCGGAGCGGGACTACGCCACAGTCGGACATCCTTAGTGCTGCTGCAGAGGCGGGCCACTGCACTCACCAGCCCTCAGCCTGGCTTGTGGCTGAGCGGCCTCCCACTTTGGGTGCGCACTGATCACCAGGGGGCAGTTCCTGCATTGAGTGTCTCCCCACTGGTGGTCAGTGTCCATCATAGCGACCAGTCATTCCACTGTTGGGTCAATTTGCATATTACCCTTTTGTTATATAGGGTTAGCGGCCTTGTTATCAACTCAGAGCTCCTGAAGGCCGGCTGCAGACGCTCCCCTCCCCTTTCCCTGTTACATTTGCAGCTCGCAGCTGCAGGCAGCTATCTTCTCCCTCGTGTGTATATGACTAGCCACCCGGCGAGGGGGCTCAGAGCAGAATTTCCAGGTTCACCAACCACTCTCCCACACTGCCGGCATTATTGGAATAAACGCTCATATAGGATTCAACCCTGTCTCAGCTTAATTTGGCTCAAGTAGTGACAGGCGGCCTCTGTCCCACTGTGTCCGGTTTCAACTCCTATAGGGCATGGGCCCGTCTCTTCGTTGGAGGCTGCCCCAGGCTGCTGGCGTGCCCTTTGCCCATCTACAGGGAGAGAAGGGAAGTGATTGGGAATTCACACCCCACCCCCGGAATCGCCCTTAACCAATCCTATAAGTGCTTATTTCCACAGCTTCGAGGGGGGGGGGGGGCGCTAGGCCAAAATTGTAGGTCTGGAGCCCGGCCCACCCTGACTTGGCCCCCTGGCCTCCCGGGCCCACCTCCCCATTCCTCCACCAGTTTCCCTGGGACCACTTCTTGATAAACGACTTTCCCAGACATCCTCATCCCGGGAGCTGCTCGCAGGGACCCGAACAAAAACATCAGCCCCATCCCTTTAGCCCCATCTGTACATCCACACGCGCCTCTCCCCCGGGACAGCCCTGAAATGGTAAGAAGACAGCCTCACGCATTGTTGAACGTGCCCGTGCCCTGTCTGACCATCAGGTGCTGTGTGGCTCAGTGAGTGCCCACAGGTGCCCAGATCACAGGCGTTGTGAGCCCTGATCACTGTCAGGGATCGCCCGACTGCAGGGCGAAGGGTTGCGTTAACCTCAGTCTCCTAACCGTTTATCTTTGCAAAGAGTGACTTTCCATCAGAATGAAGTCATTCCTGTCCCGCC